GGGAAGCCTGCTTCTCCCTCTCCCACTCCCCCTGCTTGTGTTCCCTCTGTCGTTGTGTCTCTCTCTGTCAAATAAATAAAATAAAACAACCAATGGGGAAACTAAAGCTCAGGGAAGTTAAGTAACTCCACACGGTCACAGAACTAACAGGTGGTGGAGATAAGATTTGAATTCAGGTCTGCCTAACTCAAAAGCCAGATCTCTTTCCAGCCCAGCACCTGTTCCCCTGGGCTCCCCCAAGTTACCATTTGAGGATATTTTAGCTATTAAGGAAAATTCTAGAGAGGACCATATCAAGGAATGACTTTTAGTGATGGCATCTCAGACATCACACTGGATTAGCAAAAAATGTAGGCAATCACCTGCACGGAGGAGCCTCAGCCCCGTCAACGGCAGAATGGTGATTAGGCAGCCCCCCAAGGTGGGCCTGCTGGCACCACCACCCCACTCCAACCACCTATTCATGGGGCAGCCATAGAGAGGGAGATTTTGTTGGGGAGAGTCACACCCACCCCTCAGGAGAGATCCCAGGGCCTGCCTCTGCACTCCCTAGGGAGGCTGGTATGGAGCATGGGCTTCACTCACTTTTCAGGCTTGAGGTCTCTGTAAATGATGCCCAGGCTGTGCAGGTGGTCCAGGCCCAAAGCCAGCTCAGCCAGGTAAAACTTCACATCCTCCTCTGTGAACATCACCTACGACAGGCGGGAGGGGGCGTCAGCTGGGAGCGCCTCTTCGTCAGGAGCTAGGGCACTGGGCAATCAGCAGCTTCCTGGTCCTCAGGGCCCACCCTGGGGAGGACCCTTAGACACCCCCAGGCCATACTCTCTTCTCCTTATAAAGGGGGTTGAGTATGAAATGACTAACATACAAGTCACTCATCGTGGCATTGTTTGGAAATAGCAAAAGGGTTGCAAAGAGCCCAAGGGTTGAGCGGAAGACTGAAATGAACTCCCCGGCATGATGGAGTGCTATGTAGCCCTAAACACACAAGGAATCTCTCCATGTGCTGATATGGATCGATCTCTAAGATACACTGTCTTGAGCAAGGCAAGATACAGAACGGTATATACAGGGTAGTGCTTTTTCTGTAAGAAAATGGGGGTTGGAATTCAGAACATGTATCAGAATGGTTTGTATTACTAAAGAAACATGGGGTGCTTAAACAAGAAATCAATAAAAATGTTTACCTATGGGGGGTAGAGGGACTGGGGTGGGAGGAAGACTTCTCAATGAGATTTTTCTTTTCAATCATGTAAACGTATTACCTATTCAAACATTAAAATAACATTTAAAAATTTTTTTTAAAGTTTGTTTCTCTTCTGAAGGTTGACTTGTATTAATGGTCCCATTTTTATATCTGGCTCAAATTCTTTTACGTCAGTTAAAATCCTTTTGGTTAGGGGCGTCTGGGTGGCTCAGTCAGTCGGGTGTCTGCCTTCAGCTGGGCTCGTGGTCTCGGGGTCCTGGGATTAAGCCCCACGTCAGGCTCCCTGATCAGTGGGGAGTCTGCTTCTCCCTCTCCCTCAGCCTCTGTCCCTCCCACTCATGCTTGCTCTCTCTCTCTCTCAAATAAATAAATAAAATCTTAAAAAAAAAATCCTTTTGGTTAACACATAGGACATAATGTTAAAATATCCAGATTTCTGGGAGGATTTGCGCTTCTTCCCATCCTCAAAGCTTTGCCCGGGGCAGCCTTGGAAGAATGGAGGTGGAGAGGTGAAAGACCCCTTAGCTCCTGGGAATCAGGGTGGCGTCAGACGCAGGCCCTGATCCTCCTCACCCATCCTGGGAGAAACTCTGAGGCTTGGCCAGGGTGTACACTCTGTCCCAGGGTGGGTTCCTAGGTCAGGGTCTGCTAGGCAGGCCTGGGTGGTCCCAGGTCCAAGCCACACTGGTCACGTTCTTCACAGAGCTCTGGGATGAGAGGCCTCGTTGTCTCTCCAGCTCCATCCCGGGGTCCTATGGCAGTGGGGTGTCAGCTCACCTCTTTAGAGAGCCGTGTGAAGAGGTCCCCGCCACGCAGGAAGTCCAGAATAAGATAGAGCTTTCCCTCAGTCTGGAAGGCTGGGGAGAGGGGAAAAGGCAATGGTGGAGCCAGCTGGGCCCTGGGCCCTGCCCCTCTACCCTAAGCTCCCTTGGCCTGCTGGGGGTGGGGGCAACATAGGGGGAAGGCAGCAGCCCACCGGCAGGGCAAAGCCTGGCAGGCAGAGTGGGAACTCAAGTAGGGTCTGTGGTCTCACCATAGTGCAGCTTCACCACAAACGGGTGGTTTACATCAGCTAGGATGTCTCTCTCCATCTTGGTCCGAACGCGGTCACGCACTGGCCAGAAGAGAAAGGCAGTCACGGAGAATCTAGCCCCCCCAAAACGGTCATCCCCAAGTCCTGGCTAAGAAGGGCTGCTCTCTTTTCCAAGAGTTCCTCACACCTCATGGCTGTGCCCAGGGCTGGGCCCTAGGTGCCCTGCCCATCCCTCGAGCCCCATCTCCTGCTGTGCCCCATCAAAGGCCATTCAATCCAGTCCGTCTGAGCAACCTGTTCTGTCCTCTGCGTAACCTTAGCTTTTGCCCCCCGAGGCTCCCCCGGAATGCTTTTACCAGCCCCCTCCCCACCTGGCACAAAAATCCCTAATGCCGGTCTGGGGGATGGAGAGTATAGTCACCTGGGAGCTAGTTAGGCAGATTCTTTCCCTAGGCCTAAAATTCAGACTCATGGGTCTAAGCGGCCACCCTCACATCCTTTTTTTTTTTTTTTAAGAATAAAAGTCCCTAGGCATTCTGATCACCAGCAGGTTCTTCTTTGACTCAGCTCAGGCCTCACCTCCTCCAGGAAGTCTTCCTTAAACTGCTAAGCTGAATTAGGACCCTCTCTCCGACAGTGCTCGTGCTTGCCCCTTCAGAGTACTTTTCACCCTCTCTGTTAATTTTTTCTTTTCCCTCACCAGATGCGGCATGGACCATGCTGGAGTTGGACTATTCCAGCCACTGTTTCCCGAATATACCTTACATTTTTACACTTCTGCTCAGGCAAACAGCTTCTCCTTCCTAGAGAACTCCTAACTCCTCCTTCAAGGCACAGCTCAAGCGGCCCCTCCGTACGTGAGCCCACCCTCTGTGGGCTCCCCGCTCACAGCCCCAGCTGCTCCACACGGCAGGCGTGGCTCGGCCACTGCTGCCCTGGCCTGGGAGACCTTCACAGCAGTGCCGAAGTCCTCCATCCTCCCCCTCCATGGCTCCCATCATCCCTCCTGGGGAATGACTTCTGCCCCTACCAGGTTGGCCTGAGGGCATCAAAGCTACAGCACCCCACAAACAACCCTTCATGGGCCACAGGACCCCTGAAGTCTGCAAGGCCGACACTTCTGATCCTCCCCGCCTCGCCACAGCCAGGGCCCACTCCCCCTGGTCAGTGGCTGCACTGGTTCCCAGACTGCTCCAAGGGCCACTGCCCAGCCCAAAGTCCACTACCAACCACTGTCATGCCCTTTGTGAGCCTGGGAATTCTAGACCTGGCCTTGGGCTCCCTTCTGAACCTCCCTGCGATCCATCTCTGGGGCCCTGCCTCCACTCCCCCTCTCCTACCCTCCCTAGGTGCCTCCCTGGACTCCCTGCCCCTTTCCTCACACCTTTCTCCACGCTGAGAGGGTCTCCCTCAGACTCTCCAAGCACCGTGAAGCAACTCTGCCCAACTAACCTCAATATCAGGCATGAGAAGGCCCCTGCCACAAGCACCCTGCACTCACCCCTTGCCTTCCTTCCAGACATTCACCTTCAGCTATGGTAATTGGTGCTTGGCTTGGGGGAAGAGGGGAAAGCTGAGGTTAATCCCCAGAAGTCTTTTCTTTGAAATGGACCCTGTCTCTGCCATGAGGTAGGAGGGGTGAAGGGGGAGGCTAAGGACAGGCCTGTTTCTCTACCTTCAGACCAGGTGCTCCTCCATCAGACCCAACACTCTGGAGAACCGGGCTGTCTCCCTCAATCCTGTGCCCAGCCTGGGCTCTGCACGGGGAGGTGACCTTCACTCACCTTTCAGCGTTGCCTTCTTTAGTACCTTCATGGCATACAGGTGCCCACAATCAGGTCGGGTGACCTTCCGCACGAGGAAGACCTGAGAAGGCAATGGGGAAATGGCAGAGGAGAAGCTGCGGAGGGGGCCGAGCCTGTTCGCTCCCATCCTCCAGGTCCCAGGCTGACCTCTAACTTCCCTGAGCCCAAGGTTGACCTTTTGCCCTCCCTGGGTACCAAGGTGACCTCCTGTCCTCCCCTCAGACCCACCAACCCTTGCCCTCGGATCCTGAACCCCAAGGTGACCCTTCACCCCCACCTCTGACACGACCAGTGCTGCCCTCCCAGCTGTGGGCTCAGGACTCACTTTGCCAAAGGATCCCTGGCCCAGAACCTTGAGCAGCTCAAAATGGGATGGGTCGGCCTTCTCAGAGCCAGCCTTGACGTGGTGCGTGATGGAGATCTCCTTGAGGACGCCCTCATCCTGATGGAGGGACAGAGCTGGTGAGCATGGTGGGGCCCATCCAGGCCGGCAGGAGACATGGTCCCCAGCCAAGCCCACTCCCCCTGGAGACAGGGCCCTGCTGGCCACACCAGACAGCTACACTGATGGGGCCAGCCTCCTGGTTCATCAATCCCAAGAGGGCCTTAAGGGCCAGGGAGGGTCAAACTACCAAGGTGCCGAGTCAGGTGAGGCACGGCTCCCACTGCTCCTGCTCTTCTGGCCCAGTGAGGCCCAAAGGGATGCCCAGGCCCGGCGCAGGTCCTGCCTGTGGGACTCCCCTCCCCCCACTGCAAAGGTTTTCGTTTTGCCACAATAGGAAGTAGAGTTTGTTCTCATACCGGGGAGGCAGAGCCAGGCTTTTGTTCCTGGTCAGAGTGGATGATAGGATTCTTCTGGCCAAAAGGGCAGGGCTCAGATGCACAGGGACCCAAGAGTCAGCAGAGACTACCCCCACCAACCCGGTAAGTGCCAGTCTGGGGTGGACAGGAGCTAAGGCCAGAGACTCCATGATCCACCCTTTGAAACTTCCTTCATAGGAGTCTACCCCAAAAGCCCCTTGCCAGGCCCTAGCTGTTCTGGGACCCTTCTGTCCTCCCTCCAATCGGCTGCTATTGCCCTGGAGCCCTGAAGCGCCTCCCCACTTCCCCAGGAAGCAAGTCTGGGCAGGGTCCAGTCGTCCGGCAGGCCCAGGCCGGGGCCAGGACAGCTGAGAGCCAACCGAGGCCAAGTTCGCTGCCCAGGCACCTGCTCCAAGGGCCACAGCCAGGCCAGGAGAAGACATCTGGGCACACTCACCGAGTCCCGCCTGGGGCCAGAGCCAGGGCCAGGGGCAGGCAGAGAGGTCTGGCTGGTCCTGGGCCGCTGCTTCCTGGGTAGCCAGGGGAGCAGGGCCCAGAGCCGCAGGCGGGGCGGCTTGGGATCCTGCTCCATTCGGCCGGCAGGGCCGAGGCACCATGGCAGGAGCACGCAGCGTCCGGGGCTGCCTCGGAGGTGGCCGAGCCCAAGGCGGATGTGCAGGGTGAGGGCGGGGGCTGGGCCCAGCTCAGGGCCGCCAATCACTCGGGGCCTGTGGTTTCCCAGCTCCAGGCCTACAATCTTACCACGTTCCCTTCCTCTCTTCCCCCCCTCCCCATTGCCTGAGGGCTGCCCTCTGGCCCTTTCCCCCCTCATCCTCCCCCAGGGCCTGCAAAGGGAAAGCCCTACGCCAACGCAGCTGCTGAGGGGCAACAGGTACCCAACGGGCAAAGACAGGCGTCTAACGTGTAGAGGCGGATAAAGAGGGACACCCAACAGGCAGAGGCAGGCATCCACAGGTAAAGACAGATGAAGGTGGGCATCTATCAGGCAGAGGTGGGAGAGTACACAGGCCCACCAGGCAGGGATGGAGCTAGGGGAGCTCCACACCCAGCAAGGGGAGCTAGGAAGAACACACACCCAACAAGCAGAGACAGATGGGGACATGTACCCAACAAAGCAGAGGCAGGAGGGGACCCATACCTAACAGGCAGAGGTGCACGGGACATATATCCAACAGGCAGCAACAGAAGGGGACATGAACTCAACAAGCAGAGACAGACGGGGACCCAACAGGCAGAAGCAGATGGGGGCTGGCATCCAACAGGTGGAGACAGATGGGGACACATACTCAACCAGGGAGAGACAGAAGGGGACACAACCCAACAGGCACCCAACATGTGACATGTACCCAACAAGTGAGGACAGGCACTCATCAGGTGGAGACAGAGACAGGAACCCGACAAGAGAGGCAGATGGGCCGCAGAAAGAGAAAGCCAGTCAGTGAGGCCCAAGGAGACTGACAGAGACCCGGGCCCGACACACAGAAAGCCAGACCCAGGACTCAAGGGCAGAGCTCCGGGTTCTTGCTGGCCTGCCAGGGGCTGGGGGAAGAGGTGAGGGGACATCACCTGCAAACACCCCGCATCTGGGGGAAGAGTCCGGTATTTGTGGCAGGCACACCTCTGAGGTTTCATCCCTGCCAGGGCCTGCAGAAGGCCCAGGACCAAGACAGTGGGCTGAGAGGAACATCTCCTGAATGCAATCTGATGGCTTTGACTCTGATCCAAATTTCCCAAATCTGTTATCCCCATTGCAGATACAGGAAACCGAGGCCCAGAGGCCAGTGACTCACTCAGGCTGAAAGTGGACCAGCGGCAGAGCCGGCCTACACTCAAATCCTTCCCCTAGTTACTGCCTGGCTTGGGGTCAGCAGGCCTCCAGTGCCAGGAAAGGGTGAGCAGGTAAGTCAGCCAGAGCCCTGCCCCGCCTCACTCCCTCCCTCAATACTGGGATCAGCGCAGGGACTTCCCATTCTAGGTCTAGGACCTGACAGACACAGCCCTATCTTCAGGGGACCTTGAACAGCCACAAAATCTGCAACCATCAGAAGTTGCAGGCTCTGCAGGCCCCTGAGTATAACCCTGGGCGGGACAGGCAGAAATCCTGGCTCAGAGAGGGGCTGAAGTGAACCAAGGCCACACAGCAACCCTCACCCACCCCCGCCCTGAGGTTTTAGACTCCGCTCGCCTGCCTCTGAGAACACTCCCTGGGGGCAGAAGCAGTCACCCAGAAACCCCAGGGGACAGAGCCACTCCCAAACCCATTCCTTGCCCAGGGCCATGGTGACAGATATTGCTGGAGGCAGACCAACCCTCTGCTCACCTTTCTGGGACAGGGGAGTGAGTCTCTCTCACCCCTGGGGAAATCTGCCGGGGTCTGCATGGTGGGGCTCAAGCTGGTGGCCAAAGGGCCCCGTTACTCCTCTACTTCTGCTTTTTCAGCCTTCCCGGGCCAGAAGGCAGGGTCCCTGACCCCCTCCTTCTCACTTCCCCCTCTGCAGGGAGGAGGGACAGAAGATGGGTCAGGCTCCCCTGCCGAGGAGGGGACACTGTAGACCCCACACCCGTCACTCCGCAGGGGGGCCCGGGGATACAGCCCTCCTCATCTCCTCTGATCCTAAGGAGGGGAGACTAGAAGACAGACAAAAGTCACAAGATAACAAGGCAATGACACATGGGGCATCCCAGCACCTGCCAACATCTCCTTGAGGGAGTGCGGGGCAGACGTCAGCAAGGCCGGTCTCTGAGTGCCCCAGGCCAGGGCACAGAAGCTCCTTCCCTGGCAAGTGACCTTCCTATGGCTGGGCCCACCCAAAATGGCAACCCTCTGAGCAGGCACCCCGCAGCCGGCCCCGCCTGGGATGGGCAAGGGAGCCACAGGGCCTAGCAAGGACCTCACAGAAGTGTGAGAGGAGGAGAAGGTAGCGGTGGAGCAGGGGCTGACCAGGCCCAGCCCCCTTCCACGTGGCCTGGCCGCATCAGTCCCACCAGTAGGCCCACAGGAACTGGCACGCCCACAAGTACACACAGGCCGATGATCGGAAACCATTTCCACAGACATGTGGAAACACACACCCCCACGTACACACGGACTTCCCCTTCCAGCCCTCAGAGGGCCTCCAGCAACAGTCTGGTGAGGGCCTGCTGGCGGTTGTGAAAGGGGCCGCCTTAGACCGCTCGCTGCACCCAGCTCCTGCAGGCAGGGCTGTGGAGGCCGGGACAGCCCGGGGAGCCCCAAAGCTCTCCGTTCCGGAGCCAGTGGGGCCCCCCACCAATCCTCAAATCCCAAAGCAAAGGAAGACTCTGTGGCTAGCAGGGTGCAAGAAGGGGCAACAGGAAGGAACCGGTCTCAGACCTGCCTTTGCTGGATGGTCTGTGCTGGGACTATGAGGCCTCTGGTGGCTGGAGCGGGGGAGGACAGCCACCAGACCACAGCCCTTGGTCCCTGCCCCATTCCCCACCATATACTTCCTCTTACTTACTTCCCCCCACAGGGCAGCTGGGAGAGAACCCCAGAGCCCCCCAGCCTGATCCCTGGTCCCTAGGGTCCTTCCACCAGCTGCAGCCCAAACCCAGCTGCCAATCCCCGCGGTAACAGACACCAACAGCCCCTTCCCCAGTTGGCAGTATTTGCAGGGCCTCCCGGGCCTGCCCCTTCCGGTGGGACAGATCGCTCCTGATGGGGCAGGTGAGGAGAGGTCCCAGACGTCCCTGCTGCACTAGGCCAGGACTGGGCCATGAGTGACAACCAGAACTGTGCCCCTAATAAACACAGCATGTATTGCACAAGGCCGTTCTTTCCTTCAACCTCCACTGGTGTGGCTTCTGCCAGGCCCTGTGTCTTAGCTTCGAGAGAGATCCTGCACTTCAGAAACACGAAAACCAGACTCGGACAGAAAGTGACTTGCCCAAGGCCACATGGCTAGAAAGGGGGACAGCTCAGAGCAAAATCAAAGAGTGTTTGCTTCCAAAGCCTACACTCAAGCGTTTCATTATCGCCCTCCATGCAAGCCCGGTTCCCCTTTGGACATCCGTCACAGCTACCGGCCCCCTGCTCTGTCCCCAAGCCCCGAGCCTGACACTAGGAGGCGCACATGTTAAGACTCAGGCCTTGTTCTCAGGCAGCTCCTGAAAATACATGATGACAAAACACAAGTGGCTACAAATCTACAATCGCGTATTATGGGTGCCCAGAGGCAGGAACTATCTGCCCGGGGTGAGGTCCCAAAGGACCTTCCAGAGAGGGTGCAGTCCAGCTAAACCCTGAGGATGAACAGGAGTTGGCCAGGCAGAAAGGAGGAAAAGAAAGACACTCTATGCAGAGAGAGACCTGCATGAAGAAGAGGCTGAGGCCAGGAGTGCAGGGTAGGAAGTTAAGAACCGTCCACTCACTAGCTGAGCGCTCCCAAACAAATTTCCCTCCCCGTCTGAGCCTCAGTTTCCCCCTCTGTAAAACAGAGCTCACAACTAAATATTCCACCCTTGGAAGGTTGTTGCTACAAGTACAACGGGCCACAGAGACAACGGGATGTTGTAAACAGGACTCCTCCCTGGATTGGGTGGGCAGTCTTACTGCTGCAGTCTCCTCTGGGCAGGCTGAGGGGACACAGCCCAGCCGCATGGTCCCGGGGCCTGGGAGGGTAGGCTAGCCTACCCCGGCCAGTCCAACGGAAGTTCCCCCCCAACACCTGAGGCTTCCTAGGCTCCCCGAAGTCCGCAGTCACATCCTGCTTGTGCTCCAGCCAGAGGAGCAGGAGGGATCCGGGATGGATCAGGGTTTCATAAACAGGAAGAGAGGAGGGGAGGGGGGAGACGCCCAGCTCTCAAAATAGACCTGCAGGCGCTTCAAAGGGGTCCAGCTCCGGAGATAGCCAGGGGAGGGGGCCGGCGGTGCCCAGTCCACCCTCATGGAGGGAGGGAGGGCAAGCAGAGCCCCAGTCCGCCTGAGGACCCCAGGCGTGCCAGGGTGCCAAAGGGATCTGGGAAGCTCTTGCCCTGGACTGCTGTCCGGGCTATGGCTGCTAAACCCCAAATCCCCCTTTCGGCCTAAAATGAATAAAGTAAGCAAACATTAAACACCACACTTTGGGGGCGCCCGGCTGGCTCAGTCGGTGGAGCAGGTGACTCTTGGTCTCGGGGGTTGTGAGTTCGAGCTCCCCACTGGGTGTAGAGATGACTTAAAAATAAAATCCTTAAAAAAACAACAACAACAAAACAGAACACAGCAAACTCTGTGGGACTGTTTAATTTATACATATCACACTCCTCCTCCGGGTGGCCCTGAGGGGTGGACCCTGTTTTTCTATAGGAAAAGCATCTAAACCTCAGAGCAGTACAGTACCCGCCCAAGTCCTACAGCAAATGAGAAAGGGGCAGGGTCCTAAACTCAGAATGCCTGACTCCCAAGGGGCCCCCCCTCCGCCTCTTCTCCACCTGGAAGGCCCACTTCTCTCTGGAGCTGCCAAATCCTGCCTTCGGAGGCCCAGCCAAATGCCAGTTCTGCGGGGAAGGTGGCCTGCAGCCTTACTCCCCTGCCACACAGAACCGTAACCATCCATCCGGCCCCTGCTCAGCCCCAAGCGCAGGTGCCCCTGGCTGGTTCCCCAGGACATGCTCCTCTTACCATCTCACTGGGAGAAATGTGGGCACCAGGAAAGGGGTACATTTCTCTGCCTGATATGGGGCCTGGCGCAGAATGGAGATTCTCTGTGCCCACAGTCATGCTCCCCACCATCACAGCACCCACCACCACACAGCTTGCCTGTCTCCCCCGCCTAAGAGCAACCTGAGGCTGGGGGTACTGACTTCATTTTAGGGCCTCCCAGCGCTCCAGCATGGTGCACCGAACATCTGTCTGATGAAGCAAAGGAGAAACTGGCCTGCTCCCAGCTCCTTCCACCACACAAAGTGATGAGGGCCTGACCACAGGCTGAGCGCCCCCTGGTGTGCCAAGCCCAGAAGTAGGCCCTGGAGATACTGTGAGGTTCTGGGGGCAACAGAAAAGACAGATGAGCAGGTGTCTAGAAATGGTGGAACCCAGAGTCACAGGGACTCAATACTCTCCCTCTTCAGCATGCAGTGTTCTCTGGGCTGGGAGAAGTATGGGCTCTGTGGTCAAGCAAGACCTGACTCCACTGCTCACCAGCTATGTGACTTTGGGCCTCAATTTTCTCATCTGTAAAATGGGAATAGTAACAATCTCTACATCAGGGGTGTTGTGAAAACTAAATGCAAAGCTCCCGGGGTGGTGCCAGGTATGGGTTAAGCTCTTTCTCTTCCTTAACGTGGCACTCAAGGCTCTCCTTGCCCATCCATCTCCAGCCTTGTCTCCCTTCCCATCCCAGGGTCTTCTGCTCGAGAGCAGGGGTCATAGGCTTGAGATCAAATGTAGGTTACCCACCCGAGTAAGCGCCTGCCCTCTCCCAACAAGCCCCTCTAGCTCCTGAGGTAGCTTACCACCTGCCCCCCCAAAGCTGCAAGCTCCTCTGCAACCCCCAGAACTTGAGCCCCAAGATCTGAACATCCTGGCTGTTCCTAGAATCCCTTCATTTTGTGACGAGGCAACTAGAAGCAGCTACTTTGTGGAAGGAGATTCTCCAGACAAGGGACCCGGTCTCTGCCACTTGGTCTGGCCGCTGTTGGCCACGGTGGCCACAGTAACCAGCAGAGGAGGGGTAGGAGCCTACTTATCTCACCTTGCCCTACCCCAGGCAGCTCAGCTCCCTTCTCTTAGGAGGCTGAGACAAGGCAAACATCGGGACCAG